TGTGGCGTCACAGCTCACAGCAACCTCCAACTCCTGGGCTTAGGCAATTCTCTTGCCTCAGCCTCCTGAGTAGCTGGGACTACAGGCACCCGCCACAATACCTGGCTAAGCAACCTCTCTAATTCTTGGGCTCAAGCTAGTCTCTTCCCTCAGCCTCCTGAGTAGCTGGGACTACACGTGTCCAGCTATTTTTAGAGGTGGGGTCTGGCTCTAGCTCAGGTTGGTCTTGAACTCATGAGCTCAGGTGTACCACCCTCCTTGAGCTTCCAAAAGTGCTGGGATTACAGGAGTAAGCCACCGTGCTTAGCCAAATAAATGAACATTTTGTTTAAACACCTTATAGCTGTTCATAGTCAAAATGCAAGAGATAAATTGGGCTGATGTGAAAATGAAGAAATGTAGGGGAAGATGTAAGTAAACTACTAATTTTGTAATAGTGATAGTATTTTAGCTATGTAAGAAAGTAGTTTTTTTTTTTGAAGCAGTTTTTCATTTTGTTGCCAAATGAAATGCACTTTGGAGAAACAACCCTATTGTTGAAATTTTTGCAGGAAAGATGGCTTTGTTAACATAGACTAAAACTGTACTTCTATGTTGCCTAGGATTACAGACTTAGGAGTGGCATGTCACGATGTTCCCAATTTATTTCAAAATATTTTATCTTATAAAAAAAGTAGATTAAAGAACTAGGCAGGTAGATTGCCTGAGCTCATGGGTTTGAGACTAGCCTGAGCCAGAGGGAGACCCTGCCTTTAAAAATAGCTGGTTGTTGCAGTGGGCACCTGTAGTCCCAGCTACTTGGGAGGCTGAGGCAAGAGAATTGCTTAAGCCCAAGAGTTTTTTTTTTTTTTTTGGCCGGGGCTGGGTTTGAACCCACTACCTCCAGCATATGGGGCAGTGCCTTACTCCTTTGAGCCACAGGTGCCGCCCCAAGCCCAAGAGTTTGAGGTTGCTGTGAGCTATGATGCCATGGCACTCTACCAAGGGTGACAATGTGAGACTCTGTCTAGGGGGGAAAAAAAGAACTATATCCATATAATTGATTTGCTGCCAGTCTGTGTGAAAAGAAAACCAGTGGTTCCTCTACTTAAGTGAAGGTGCATCAGCAGGGCCTTGTGTTGCCAAGAAGTAGGTCTCTAGAACCAGAGTTCCTTGATTAGAATCGTGGTTGTACCAATTACTAACCAAATAACCTCATACAACTTAGTTATCTTCTCTGTGCCATGGTTCCCTCTATAAAACTGCTTTATAGAATAGCTGTAAGGTTTCTGAATCCATAGCATTCAGCTCAGTCAATACTCAGTAAATGATAGCTATCATTGGTAGAAAGAACATGAATTCTAGTCTTACCATTTATATGTCTTTATCCTTTAAGATAATAACTGAAATTTAGTCTTGCGCTAACAAAGCCATCTTTCCTGCAGGAATTTCAACAACAGGGTTATTTCTCCAAAATGCATTTTATTATGGCAAACTGAGAGGCTGATAGGGCAGGTAGTCATCAAAAAAAGTAACTGGATACTCTTGTGTTTCATGATCAGCAGGAGCTTTTCCCTGCTCCTTGGTGCTGTCCTGCATCCTGACCAAACAGTGGTCAGTGCAATGTAAACCATGGTCCCTGACTACTAAAGCCTGCTAGCCAGTGAGGAATTACGAAGATGTATGGTATGGGAAAGGCCTATAGCTACTTGTGGCATCAGACGACTCAATGCCTGGGAGCCCTATCAAAATCATAGTATGGAGTCTACGATGCGGGAGGGTGACTAAGAGGCTCCAATAAGACTATGTATGTTAATCATATTAGACTGAGCCCAGTGGAATTTTTTTTCCCTTTTTCATAGTATTAGTGATGGTCAGACACTATCTTCACTATGCCAGTAAGAACAGAAAATGAAACTGAGGTCAGAGAGGAAAAAAAAATCCATGCTGCAAAAAAATGGGAATATTAAATTCTATAAAAAATAACAACTACAGTCTATTCAAAGCCATCAAAGGAGCTGTCACTTAGGAAAGGCTATTTAACTTTTTTTTTTTTTTT